GCCACAGATGAGCCCTAGAACTTAACTCAATCCCCAACTCTTAGCGCAGTGGCAGCAACGAGCGACCACCTACGAACTTGTTCGCAGGACTGCCAGCAGCAGCTGCAGCTCCTGCTGCAGTTGTAGGAACATCAACAGCAGCTGCAGCGGCATGGCTGCTGAATTTAAGACCCCATACGTTGGAACAGCTACTACAAAGATAGCTGTAACAGCATACGCTGCTGGAGGCGCTGCAGGGAACGCTGCAGCACAAGTTGAAGTCTTCGCTGTAGAGCAAGCTGCAGCGGACACTGCAGCACGAGTTGCAGCCTTATCTGCGGTGCAGCTGCAGCAAAAGCTGCAGCCGGAGCTGCAGAGCCAGCTAGTTGGGGCTGCAGCTGAAGCTGCAGCGCAAGCTGTAGCGCTGATCGCAGCACAAGCCACAGCACAAGATGCAGCAAAGGCTGCATTGCCAATCTTAGTGCAGGTTGAAGGCTTAGTCGCCGCAGGAGCTGCAGCATAGGCTTCGGTCACAGCTGCAGCACACGCTGCAGCACAGGTTGTAGCTGCAGCTTCAGCGCAAGCTGCAGCACGGACTGCAGGCCAAGGTGCAGGCCAAGCTGCAGCTTTTGCAGCAGCAGTTGCTGCAGCAGCTGCTTCGGCAGCCCCAGTGAACGTTTAGGCTTGCCGATCTAAGCGAAGACTGAAGATGAAGTTTGGAGCGAAGCTCCGCAGCTACGCAGTGCCCGAGTGGCAGCAGCATTATGTGGACTATCCTTGTCTAAAGGCGCTGTTGAAGCAGCAGAAGAAAAGGATAGAAACTTCTGATGCTCCCGGATACCTGGCGAAACTGTTTCCAGCAAGCTGGCAGTGAGACTTGTGCAGCAACACGTTGCATCTGCAGCAGGAGTTGCAGCTGCTGTAAATGCTCAGTTGGTGTAATTTCTCAAAGTCCTCCGCTGCAACTGCTGCTGCTTCCGCGGCACCTGCAGCCCACGGTGCTGCTGTTGTTTGTGCTGCCGCTGCACACTTTTAGCAGCAGCAGCAGCCTCGCGTGCTTTCTGCGTCTGTGTTCTGTTTGCCTGTCGAAGTCCGTCTTCTGAGAAGGCGTCAAACGTGGGAGATGGGACAAGTATGTGTTTCAGTTTTCCCTACCTGGCTCGTGGCCTCTCCTTCTGTGTCTTGTTTTGTTTTGTCGCATTTCCTTCCCTTTGCAAGTACAATGCTCCATACAAATCTTAATTTAAAAACACTAGAACTGCAGAGCTTCGAATAAGGACACGCTTGCGTTCTTTTTGCATGTCTGTCTGTACACCATTCAATTAGCGCATCCGTGCATTACCTAAGAAAAGCAACAGCAGCCGCTGCAACAGCAGCTGCATGCAATTTCTGCCGTTGAGCCTGCCAGTTGTGGCTAGCAAGCTTTGTTTGCCTGCATGTATAGAGCCGTCACAAGTTCTGTCTCCTTGGAAACGCACTCTTGCTATTTCGTGATGTTGGTCTCCCCTCAGGTCTTCCGCTCCCTGCAGTTGTGGGTCCCCCGGGTTCCCGCGTGGCTCCGGCAGCAAACAATCAGACGGGGTTCCAAGGCTTCTGTCGTCTTAAAGAACCGTTGTTGCAGGATATGCAGCAGCAGCAGCAGCAGCAGAAACAGCCGTCGCAGCAAGACCACCGCAGTATTTCTTCAGGCACTGCTGCAGACGATCAGCCTGAGGGACCTGCAAATAAAGAAGAGACGCTAAGGGCCAACTGTGTTGCGGCCTTTAGCGCTGCAATTGAAAAAGAGAAGACGAAAGTGGCGAATTTCTTCAGTAGGTTTGGAGGCCAGCAGAAACAGGAGCGGCTGAAGCAGATATAGGAGCATTCTAGACAAGCCCTACCCACTTCAGCATCAGTGGCCGCTATTTGCTGTTGCGTTTTGCCTAGCGAGGAAGCCGAGTCTGAGCAAACAGCCATTGCAACTTTTCTTGAATTTTTAGGAGCCCTGGCATTTTTTGTAGCTGCTGCAGCAACGCAATCTGTATGAAAGACGAAAGCAACAACAGTAAAAAGTGCAGCAACGCTACCGTAAAGTGCAGCAGCAGACCGAATGACCATCGGGCGGGCAACTGCTGCAGGAACGCCAGAAACAGATCTTGTAACAACCCCACCAGCTGATCGTCTCAATCATTTACGCGGTTTGATCTCAGGGGATGAACTGGGATTTTTGGAGGATAAGCTGAAGGCAGTCACCATGGAGCTTAAGGCCTTTAACGCAGCGCGGAGGCGGCGACTGTCGTCTTTACGAGCAGAGGATAAAGAAAGTGTGGGCCTGAAGGAGTCAGCGCAAGCTGCTGCTGCCGGTGCTGGACATCCTGCTGGTGCGGTTCTTGTTGCTGCTGGAAGCAGTGAAGATAAAGGCACCAACAGCCAGGTGAGTAGGCCGAATTATCCGTTCTCGTTCAATGCATCAAGCGTCTCGACAGAGGACGAAGCGAAATCAGAGGTCACCCTAACCCTCCTTTCCCCTAGTTTTCAACCTTCCATTCGTTTGCATTTCTTATTTCCTTCTCCGGTTCACATTGTTTGTCTTCCTCGCGCTTCCATTTGTCCCGCTTTAGTTATTGGTGCTTGGCATTTGCGTCCTATTGTACTGATCCTTTGTCTTCATCTTCGAATCACCTGGCCGAGTAGCTCCATCCTAAACGTGTACTAACCTTACCGCCTTGCCA